ATTAAATTTTAAACTTAAGGTTTATTTCGGCCTGACGTGAAATGATTAGATTTTGGACAAAGTCGGAACATCTGGGGGGGGGGGGGTACTTTATGGGAGGCCGTTTTTATATTTTATGGAATATATCTGTTATTTATGTTTGGAGAAGAAAATTGTTCAAATAAAAGTTACTTCTAATATTATTATCTATAATTTTTGTTCTATGCCAAAATTTCCTGAAATGGTCCGTATTCGAGAAATTTGACAAAATGTGCAAAATTCTGATTTTTATGAAAATGGTTGAACTAAAAGTTGTTTGCGATATCGATTTCTATAATTTTTGTTTATATATGATTTTTCTAAAATGGACCGTAATGGAAAAGTGCTAAATTTAAATTTTTCTGTATTTTCGTTTTCAATGAATATCTATAGAAAAATGTTTCGAGGTAGATGTATGTGGAAAATGTATATATTTAGTTTATCCTCTAAACATTTATAGAGATGCTGCAATAGGTTGTACAAAATAACCGGAAAATGCCTATAATAACTAGATAGGAAAGTCATGTGTTGGACACATCAGATTTTTTTGTAGGCCTTTGTAAATCGTGGAAATAGTTTATATTTTATTTCTACCTTATTAAGGAAAATGGTACCTATTATTAATAACGGTTGTTTCTGAAACATTACTAAAATTTTCGAAATTTTGTTTTTCTACAAAATAATAAACTATACTATTTAGAAAAAAATTTATTTCTCTTATAATTTTATAAAAAATAACAGGGGAATATTTACATTTCTTGATCTATTAAACAAAACGATAAATTATCTCGACGAATGACACCATGTTCTAGTACGGAAGCTAGCTTTACATTTTTGTTGGTGGTTTCATGGGTTTCATATCAATTTTTTGTAATTGTAGTTTACACGTACATATACCTCTTAACACTTGTTTGCTTTATTAAAAAAGTGTGTTGTTGTGATTTACGTCGAAATAAGTCAAAAACAACTTGAAACCCCAAATAAAATCAAAAAGGAGAAACGGAAAAAAAGTAAGCCTGTAAATGAACACAACTCAGAAACAAAAATAGCTATCTAATAATAAAAAAAATAAAATTTGATTCTTGTGCAGCTTCATCTATATCATTAACTGTTTTTGGTTTTTTAATGGTTTTTCTTGGTGATGAAAATTCCGATATCTCACGGTTATCGATTCTTTTTTTCTCTCCAGAAATGCGGACGACAGTGTTTTTAGATACTCCTGTGGCTGCAGCAACACGATCATTTACATTTTTAAATGGTATTGAAGGTGAATTAAAGTTTCCTTCTCTTCTCATAAACTCTATAACATTGGCTATTATTTCGCGAGATTGACTGTTAATCACGCGGCCTCTTAATTTGCTATTAAACTCCATACTTAGGTTCTATTAAACTGTAATGAGCAAAAAACACAAACGAAAATAAAAGAAATGTTTTAGCGAAATTTACATCTGACATTTACGTCTGAATGAAATAGTGAAATACTTGATGCGCAGAGTGTACTTTCATTGCGTAAATCCGTCGGGATGCCTGTCAGTAGTGCTTTCTCTGTCTAGCCGTCGAAAGCCTCTAGAAATTTGATGAACTGTATATTATATGCTCTTTAATTTTCTATAAGTATCAGTATAATAAGATCAATGGTCTAGTAATGGAAGCACATCTTGATTAGGTGCGCACAATTCCTCCACTCTCCCTTATACTTAATCAGGGAACGGTGCGCGCAAATATTAATGTATATAGTACAGTATTGGGCCACTAGGGGTTTAAAAGTTCACATTGTCGTCGAGCTAAAAAGCCAGGTTTCAGTAAAAAAAAATGTTCTGACAGACTCCACAGCCATCATGACATCTACAAAATTACCGACCTAATACTCCAAAAGAAATAAAAAACCGGTCGAGTACGAGTCAGACTCGCGCATGAAGGGTTCCGCAACATTGTACAAGATTTAATACGATATAGGGACTTTTTAATTACTTTATTAGAATCGAGCAAAAACGCCAAAAAAACACGTTTCTAATTTTTAATTAATTTATTTTTTGTTATTTATTTGTTGTTATATCGGCACATTCTCTGAAAATTTCAACTGTCTACTTATTACGGATCATGAGATACAGTCCGCTGACATACAGACGGACAAACATCCGAGACTTAATATTATTATTAATAGGGTCCTGTTGGTTGTCCTTCAGGTACGGAACCCTAAATACCAATAAATCACTCAGCAGTGGATGTGTACAGACATGAAGAATCATTTAGTAACTTACATAGCCTAATAACGTACAAATTAAAACGACGCATACACCACTTTAGGCATATAAGTACGCCAAAACCTAAAAGGAAACTAACCTGTTGAGCAAAATGACAGTCTAAAAGAGACACCCACCAAAAATTTTCTGGGAAAGAAAGTAAGGAGAAAACAGAACCATCAATAATACACACATACAGCCCCGAAAAACCCCCATTTTTCAGTCAATCCTAAAGTACCAGCCAAAACAGAAGCCAGTCACTCTATGGGACACCAGTTACTTCCGAAAATGTGGAAAAAATGCACAAGCAGAGAGCAAGGCTGCATTGTCCTACATACTTTAGCAGCAGGAAGCAGATGTGTTGTATGCTGACCTGCCCACATCGCCAATGCATACGGATGAATCCCCAGAGAGCGAAGAAAATACTTTACCTTTCGAAAATTAGGAGAAGTTCCCATTGAACGACACCATAGTAAATCCAACAGACCTTGTAGAAAAAAAAATGAAGAACTTATGAGCAAAGCCAACGAAAAATTGAACCTCCAGTGAAGACGAAAACCTAGTAGGATAGGACCAAAATCCAATCCCAGAGACAATCTAGATACAAGTGGAAGTGCACCCGCAAAACACGCCGAACGCATAGCCAACTATTCTTGAACACAGAACTAGGTTCCAGAGCTTCGGATTCACCTAACTGGAGACCAGCGACTTTAAAGTTTTCAACCATGTTCTTTACTAAAAAATGTGACTTTTACGGTGCACTATAAGTTGTAAAACGATATCATCCCTCTCATTTTCAACCTAACTTAACCTAAACCCATAATAAAAAGGATAATAGAAAGACCTCCAGTAAATCTCTACACTATCAAAATAGCGAAAATAGATACAGACGCTGAAGGAAGTGGTGAATTCAAAACATCGACTAACTTCGTCACCATATTTATAAAAAAGCAGTAAGATCCATTAATCTCTAGAACAAGTACGAGATATTGTGCAACACAGGCTGAGAAAATCCAGAGGCAAGACAAAAACAAATGCAAACAGTTACAACAAATACACCATTGACTGAATTTCGCGTTTTTAGCAAATATATTACGAGCCCTAACACAAAAATGTTCGGACATCAACTGATTTTTCGTAAAAGTTTGAAAATTTCCTTAAGGGATTCAATATCATGTTTTTCATTTATAAGACATAATATGTATTGTTTTACATAATATTTATGATATTGTTTTCACATAAACTGATATTGATCAATAAAACTAAGCTAATGTTGATAAATCAATAGCTGGTTGCATCTCCCTTTGCCTTAATAACAGCTTTTATTCTATCAGGCATAGTTTTAACAAGCTTTTCGCAATCTTCCGCGGTAAAAGAATCCCATATATTTTGCAATTTTACCCGCAAATCAGAAATGTTGCGCTGTGGATCATTTCTTAATTGCTGCTTCATCTTGTGCCATACAGTTTCGATTATATTTATATCAGGGCTGCAGGAGGGCCAGTCAAGGACGGAAATATTGTCCTGCAGCCACTTTCTTGTGGTCTTGGCTATATGGCAGGAGGCGCCATCTTGTTGAAAAGTAAAGTTTCCATCAGGTGATAAAATTGGAATTGACACTAACAAATTGGTTTCAAGAATATTTTGATATTTTTCTGCGTTTACAATTTCGTCTATAAAGTGCAGTTTTCCAACACTAAAACCAGACATGCTTCCTCATACCATAACACCTGATGGAAATTTTATTTTTCTCTTTAGGCAGTCTTTGTGAAAGGCTTCATTTTTGTTTCTTATAACACGTGATCGATGGTCACCCACGCAAACATCAAATTTTGAGTCATCGCTAAAAATGATTCTTTTCCAGTCTTCAAAAGTCCACATTGCCCGTTCCTTTGTCCACGCTAATCGTCTTTTCTTTTGTTTTTCCGTAAGCAACGGCTTTTCTTTTGCCTAAACCAATGATTTCACTGCATAAATATGAGATTTTCCTTAAACGTTACCTACGTACCTTATAAAAATGTATACCAGACTTATGGATCCAGCGACGACACGTTTCTCGTGAAACATTTCCAATTATTTCTTCATTCCATTTTGCTGTTATTTCCCTTACAGTACTTCGGCGATCAGTTTTACAAATCTGAACAAGAGATCTTTGCATTCGGGAAGTGACTTTGCGTGGCCGACCACCACCATGTCTTGAAATTTATGTTGAACCCGTTTCTCCATATTTTTTCACAATATCTGACACCGTGGACTTTGCGACATTTATTTGTTTAGCAATATCCCGAAAGGTTTTTCCTTGGTTAAACAGTTTTACTATTAATTCTCTGATTGCACCATTTGTTGCTTTACCACGCGACATTTTGGAGCCAATTGATAATCGAATTAATTCTCAAGTTAAAATGTCAAAATAGAAACACTTTTTTTTTGTTTCTATGGCTTACTATTATTTGTTTTACTAACGTGTCCGAACATTTATGTGTCAGCAAATATTGCATTTTTATCAACATTAGTTTATTTTTATTAATCAATATTAGTTTATTTGAAGACAATTTCATAAATATGATGTAAACAATACATATTATGTCTTATAAATGAAAAACATATGATATTGAATCCCTTAAGGAAATTTTCAAAACTTTTTCGCAAAATCAGTTGATGTCCGAACATTTTTGTGTTAGGGCTCGTATAACACTTGTATAGTATTTACTTTTAGATATTTGAAAATATTTTTTTTAGGGTCAACGATGAAGTAAAACTATCCCAATCGAATAACAACAGGACATACATTCCATTACCTTCTTCAGTAAAAAATGCTTCGGACACTGTGTTTACAGCCAACCTATCTCTACCAACTACAACGGCATCATCATTACTTGAAATATCCACTACAAACATTACAAATAATTTACTAACTAGCACTAATAATTCAACTATGTTTATTAAATCCATAGACGAAATAAACTCCACACCTATTAATGAAATAAAGCCGAGAGAATATTACATTTGGATATATACAATACTTATCGTTAGTTCAATCATTTTATTAACGATTAGGTCGTTTTTGTTTTACCACATCTGTATGACAGCTTCGAAGGTTTTGCATAGTCGAATGTTCAACAACGTTCTTCTTGCTCCGATGAGATTCTTCAATAGCAATCCTTCAGGTAGAGTACTTTTAAAATCCTACGTCTTTATGTCGTGCGATTTTTTAGCAGTTTTATATTTGTTTTCTTATCTTCTTAGGTTCATTTCATTTCATAGACCAAGGGGAAGACTACACAAATTTCTACATTTTTCAGACTAGTGATATAATTGACCATTTCGCGACAGTATGAAATAAAATTAATTCAAAACTGTACTATTAGGGCCAGTTTTTCAATCAAAGTTTAAACTGAGTTCAGTAAATGAACGGGGTTTAATTGAAAGATGCTGTATTTCAAATGTAGTTCACGTCTGAACTTAATTTAAACTCTTCGAAAAATTGAACGGTCAAAGTTGGACGTTTAAACTAAGATCAATGTTTTAACATTGACATAATATAAGTATATTTCACAATTTTTGTATATTTTTTGTTCGAAGTAATAAGTGAGGACGATGGCACAGTTTATAGCTAAAGAATCTGCGTCGGCCTTTTGATCTCAATGTTCCAGTTTATACATTGCGCAACTCGAATTTGTATCCCTGGCACATACAGAATCAAATCATAATAGCCTAAGAGCGCACTTCAAATTTTTACCGCCATCTGATAATGAAATAAAATATACAAAAACATTACAAACTTTACCGAATGGCACCTGTGACAATCCCAATCTTGAGCAAAGTGGTTAAAAAAAATATTTTACATTAAAAAAATCACATAAGGCATGATAGCGCTAATTTCGTTTGCCCTTAAAGTTTTCCAGATAACATATTCAAATATATCTTTATATACAGGGTGATTCATAACTATTGGGACATAGGCTAAGGGCAGGTTATTTGTACAAAAATATGATGACAGGGCCAAATAGATCTTAATAAAATATTGCTGTGGAATAAGATACAGGGCGTTAAAGTTGAATTTTTTTTTAGTTTTTTTTTATAATGTTTATATTAATGAATTGTTATCAAAATCGGCACAGAGGCATATCTTTGGACAGGGGATAATATTTTATGTATAATTTCTCATTTTGTTACGGGGGGCGCCACTTGAATGATTACTAATGATGAAATTAAGTGGTAGCTTTTTTTGACAAAGCTTTTCAGTATTTTTGATTGGAAAATATGATGTAAACGTCATTTCTACGTAATATTGGTACTCTTGTTTAAACACGATAATTTTACCCGTTTTCGAGAAAAACGTAATTGAGCAGCTCACAAGTCTCAAATGGGGAGTTAAAAAAATATTTCACATATGAAAAGTGTGCTTTGGAGTGTCAGATAATTGTGTTTGGTACATGTAATTTCTTGACAGTGAATTATTTTTGATTATAGTCTATTATTATTACTATTATTATTATTATTTATCACCCTGTATCTTATTCCACAACAATATTTTATTAAGGTATATTTGGTCCTATCGCCATATTTTGCTCCAAATAATCTGACCTTAGATTATGTCTCAATAGTTATGAATCATGGCTATTGTGATTCATTTTTACAGGTTGACATAGAAACTACAAAGAAAAACTACTATGATTGCGGTTTAAAAGAATTGTCTAACAGGAGTTTATAATTATTATTGACTATCTCTGCAAGAGGTAGGTAAAAATATTAATAATTCAGGTTTAAAAGATAGGTTCACAATGAATTAGGATTGTAATTTTCAGGGAAAACACAATTATCGCTGTCATGTCTTATTTGATTTTTTGAATATAAAATAATTTTGTTTAACCACTTTACTCAGGATTACAGATTGGCACAGGTGCAATTTGGTAAAGTACAATGTTGTTACATGTCTTTGGAGCATATTTCATTTTGTTATCAGATGGCGGTCGTAATTTGCAGTGGGCTCTCTTACTATCACCAATTAGGCATTCCAACGACCTGTCAAACAATAGCTGTCAGTAAGAAGGTCTGGTATATCTAAGGGGGTAGAGTCATATAAAAAAAGTATCTAATTTTTATTATTATTATTTTTATTGTGTTTGACATAAAATATTTAAATGTAATCCATTATTCATAATATTACGTATTGTAAACAGAATACATCGTATGTCGCAACCCTTGGATATATCAAATCTTCCCACTGGCGGTTCATTTGTTTGGAATGCCTAATACAATATATGACAACCACTTTTATTCAAACGGCAGTCTTCTGCGCATCCTGAATTTGTGTCCCTGGAGTGGATGTTATTTTGGAACATCCAAATGGCCCGAGTGAGCTAACTGATTCTTTAGCTATAAACTGTGACGATGGTGAACATTGTTGCATATTAATGTACCATACCATATACCCAACTGAATATGCATGATTTCGTTTGTCCAAGAAAACGGCCAATAGAATAATTAACGAAATAGAATGAGGAATTGAAAATCCGACGAAAATTTATAATAACATATATTTTGTATTCTAGAAATAATACTTTAACTCCTAAAGTCATGGTTCTGTTAACTATACGATTTTTGGTATCTGAATCTTTTTTAATTACCACTGAATACTTCTATAGAGTACATAAGGGTACAGTAAGCCATCTTTTCCAATATTTATTTTTGTTTGCTCGAAAAATTGGCGGCCCGTCAATTTACCCAGATAAAGTTGATTTGCTTCTACTAGATAGTGATTTTAAATAAATTTAAAAATTTGGAAAGGGTGGTTATTCTTCTATCATCCAAATGAGACAAGATGTATCGAATAACAAATGGGGCTGATAAACCAGACTTCGTTAGTTCCAAATACAGATCAAAAAGGGGAGATTTATTAATTGGGCACTCTAAGAAGTGATTTAACGATTCAACTTCTCTGCACTCGCAAAATGGGTCATCTTTAATTCCAATTCGAAATAAGTGATATGGGGTTAGACAATGGCGAGTTTTCATCCGTATGACTGTGGAAAGGTACCTTCTTTCATTGCATTGTTTACTATTGAACCACGGAGTTTTGGTTATTCAGTAAAAAGATATTTTCTTTTCTTTTAGTGAATTCCATTGTTGAAGCCATTTGTTCCAAATTTCTTGTTTAATGAAGGGTAAAAAGTTAGACTTATTGAGTTTAATATTTACAGGAATTTTAAGGATTCTTCCTATATTTGCTAATTGGTCGGCTTTACGGTTGCCAATAATGTGACCTGAAATCCATGCCAAAGTGATGTGGATGTTATTCATATTAGCAAGTAAGATACCTTGTTTTGTTAGAAGGGAGCAATGATCAGTTTTTGTAGATAATTTTATATTTCCAATTTTTTGTAAAGCAGAGTCTGAGAAGATAACTGAGTTCAAGATATTTTTTTCTAAAATGATTTGCAAGGCATGGTTTATTTTCTGCAGTACATATTTGTGTATGTTGAGGAAGTCTGTTTGAAAACACAGATCCGTCGGTGAAGAATTTTGTGTAACCAGGTAGCTTGTTTATTGTGTCAGTAAAAATGGATAAGCAATAAGTATCATCCCTAATTGATCTAAGATTTAAAAATGGGAATTGGGGAGAGTTGGATGGGCAATTCAAATGGCATAGCAGCAATTCATTAGAATACATATTCGGAAGGAACTCTTCTATTTGGTTTATTAAACTTAATAATACTGGAGTGTCAGTTACCTTTTTGTAAACATTTCTTTCTTTATTTAGTATTGCCAAATGTTTTAACGAATTGATGACAGGGTTACTTTGGAATGCAAGATTTTTTTAAAGAAATTTATAACAAAGCCACTCCCTCCCTAAGTTTAAGGGGATATCCCCGCTCTCTGCTTGCAGAGCATAAATTGGAGTTGATTTCATACAATTATTGATGACACGTAAGCTCTGATATTGTAGCCTGTCCAACTTCTTCTGAAGGTACTTCGGACATGGAGAAATTACCTGGCATCCATAATCTATATGACTTAAGATGATAGCATTCTGTTTATGCGAAGGATTTTTGGATCACTGCCCCACCTGTACCACAAAGAGCTCGCATGTTATTTAAACCTCTGTTAATTTTTTTACTCAATGTAATTATTATGTGCATTCTATTTTAAATGTTTATGAACGTAAATACCTAAATATTTAAATGAATCTGAACAGTGAATGATTGTATCATTAAAATTAATTTTTGGACGGATTAATTTAATACGACCTTTTGAAAAAAGGAGAGCCGATAATTTAGTTATATACAATTTGAAATTGTGCTCATCCAGCCAGTCTTTAAAAGTAATCAAGAACGAGTTTATTTCTATAATAATATTGAAGACATTCTCTCAACTAACCAAAATTACAATGTCATCCGCGTATTGAATTAATTTAAATGTTTTTGGTATTTTTATGTTCACTTTTATTGAATATGTTTTTAAAAACGTCAAACTGACATAGAACATTCAGTTTTGTAAAAAGAACCTCAATTCAGTACTACCTTAGATAATTAATCTAAGAGTACTACTAATATAAATTAAACTTGGATCATTTGAACTGTGATATTGACATGATTGAAAAACGCAATTGATGTTAATCTTAGTTCTATATTTGATCCAATTTCAGGTGAACGAAAGTTTAAACTGTTATTGAAAAACTGGCTCTTAGAGTATTAATGTGAGATTATATACAAAAATCGGATTTTTGTTGGTTATTGAGTGTACCAATTAAAGTTTTATATTTTAGGTCGAATATTAAACAGATTTTCAAAAGACATGGGAGCCATAGACGAAATCTTACCACGTGCTCAATTTGACAGTGTTCAAATTGTGCTCGTTCTGCTTGGTATATTAACTATGGTCTTCATAATTACCCCATGGATGATGATACCAACAATTGTGCTAGGAATCATATTTTACTGGTTTAGAATCGTATATTTAAAGTGTGCCCAAGCCATAAAAAGATTGGAAGGAACAAGTAAGATAATTTGAACGTCTTGAGGAACAAGAAACATTTGGTAATATTGCATTAGTAGTCATTAAAACATCGTTATTTTTCAGGTAAAGCTCCTGTATTTTCCCATGTTTCCACCACTTTGTATGGTATGTCAACCATAAGATCGGCAACTGCAGAACAAATGCTTGCTAAAGAATTCGACGTTCTGCAAGATCAACATACAAGCACATGGTTTTTGTTCATTGCCAGCAGTACTACATTTGGGTTCTATCTTGATGTTATCAGTACAATGTTTCTTGCATTTGTTACTTATCAGTTCCTCATATTCGGAGATGGTAGAACATACACAGCGCACCAAAACTTTACGCACAATTAATAATATAATAATTTCAGAAAATACTCTTAGCGGCAACGTAGGCTTAGTCATTTCTCAAAGTCTCATCTTGACTGGTATGTTGCAACACGGAGTTAGGCAAAGCACTGAAGTTGCCAGTAACATGATAAGTGTAGAAAGAGTGATGCAGTACACGAAGTTAGAGAAAGAGCACCCGTTAGAAACTATAGGTCAGAAACCGCCACGAGATTGGCCAAGCAAAGGGAAAATCCAGTTCAAAAACACTTATCTCAGTTATGCTCCTGAATTCCCTCCAGTATTGAGGGACCTGAATATCGAAATCGCTTCTGCAGAAAAGGTAAGCATTTCTTTATAATATCCTTCCACTTTTTCAGGTCTTTTAATAGGCTCTTTTTTCTTCCTGGACCCATTTATTCCATTCTTTTCGGCCCCTAGTCAGCGTCTTCATGTCTATTAAAGTTTTAACCTTATCAATTCTGATCTTTACTGGGCCTTCCTCGCTGGCTTCTTGTTTTTTTTTTCCTATTTTCATTACTTTTATTGCTAGGTGACCCTACCAATTTAATTATTGTTTGCGTGCGTGCGTGAGTGCGTCTGTACTCGATAACTCATAAATGGAAACAGAGAAAAACACCAAATTCTAAACTTAAGCTTTATTCCAGCCTACGGTGAACATATTAGATTTTGGGCAGAGTCTGAACATTTGGAGGGGTACTTCATAGAGGTTCATTTTTATATTTTATGGAATATATCTGTTATTTACTTTTGTAGTAAAAATTCTTCAAATTAAAGTTACTTTTAATATTATTCTCTATAATTTTTGACTTATACAAAATTTTCCTAAAATGGTCCGTATTCGAGAAATTTTACTAAATGTAAAAAATCCAAATTTTTAGGAAAATTGTTCTAATAAAAGTTCTTTTATTATTTTTTATAATTCTTGTTCCATACATAATTTCTCTAAAATGGACCGTAATGGAAAAATTTAAGGAAAAGTGTTAAATTTAAATTTTTCAGTATTTTCGTTGGCAATGAATATATATGTTAGATCTTGAATAACACTAATAGTTTTTTTAAAAAATATTTTATTACTAAAAAATACAATATGTTTATGGTAGGTGAGTTGTTATGAACTAACAGAAGATTTAAGTTTGTGTCACCCCTATTTATAAGGTACGTAAAACAAAAGAAATACTAAGAATGTGTAAGGTGACGAAAGTGTTGCATTTACAAGAAATGCAACTTGGCTGAATTTAATCCTAGAGGTCAATGATAACCATTCTAGGAATTGCAACTAAGCATTATTTAACTCTAGAGAATTTACTATTATATAATAGTGTAAATTTTTTATGTAAAATATATATATAAAAAAATGTTCCGAGTAAGATGTATGTGGAACATGTATATATATTTAGTTTATCCTCTAAACATTTACAGAGGTAATACAATAGATTGTAGAAAATAACCGGAAAAAGTCTGTTATAACTAGATAGGTACTAAGTCATGTGTTGGACATATCAGATTTTTTCACTAGTACCCTGTTTTCGTACCATAAGTTATACATTGTTCATTTTAATTTTTGTGTTTGTATTAATTATATTTAAGTTTGTTTTGGTTACGAAATCATAACGGTTGAATTATTTTATAAAACAGTAGTTCATGAACCAATTCAGAGTAGATTATTTTTAGTAAGAATTAAAACATCTTATACGTCTTCTGCATCTTCTTATTTTTCGATAGTTTTAAATATCTGAGAACTTAAGAAAAGACAAAACTATAAGCACTGGCTCTCTTATGAAACAGCGCTGAACGAAATAGCGCTTATCAAAATAGCGCTATTGTTTGAAAACCTAATCAACAAAATTTTTTATTTGATTGAAGTATTTTCTGGTGTTCCTCAAGGATCCCATTGTGGTCCGCTTCTTTTTAATCTATTTGTAAATGACATTGCATGTTGTATAAAAAAGTCTCAGTTCCTACTATTTGCAGATGATTTAAAAATCTTTAAAATTGTTGAAAGTGTATCTGATTGTTTTGATTTACAGACTGATATTAACAACCTAGTATTGTGGTGTAATGTAAATTGTATTAATTTGAATTTAAGTAAATGTTTTTATATTAAGTTTAATAGGTGCCATACTATTATAGACTATACTTATTGTATCAATTGATTAGATCTTGAATTGGTGACCCAAATAAAGGACCTTGGCGTAATGTTTGATGAAAAACTTACTTTTTCAGAACACATTACAATGATATCATTAAAAGCCAGAAAGTTGTTGGGTTATATACAAAGAATCTCTAATGGTCTCTCAATCAATTCTTTTAAAATTCTTTACTGCACTCTTGTTCGTTCTAATATGGAATATGCAGCTGTTGTCTGGAACCCTTATTATTGCATTCACATTAATAGACTTGAAACGGTTCAACATAAGTTTCTGAGATGCTCAGCATATAAATTAGGAGTGCGTATAAATAATTACGATTATGATTATGCTAACCTATGTTCCAGATTAGAGATCACAACTTTGCAGAACCGGAGAACTCAATTAGATCTATGCTTCCTATTCAAACTTTTGTCTGGGTCAATATATTCTCCTGATATTTTATTAAAAATTGGTCTTAAAATTAATAGTGCAACCAGAGCTAATGAAACTTTTTTTATTAGACACCATAGACAAAATTACGGCTTTTATAGTCCATCAACACGATTGGTTAGGAGTGCTAACAGTACAGAAATAGACTTGGATTTTTTTGGTTCGTCATATCCTTCATTTAAAAGAAGTATTGCTAACCACTTTTTTAATGACACTTGAAAGTACTGTTATTGTCTGCCTTGTTAATCAAATGTTTTAATCAAATGTTTTACATGATACAATTTTTGATGTTGTTTTTTATTTTGTATTTGTGCATATAACATATTTTTTATTGTAAAATGGGGTTTTCCCGTAAATAAATAAATAAATAAATAAACACAAAAGTTTGAAAAAAAAAACATTTTTTTGTCAAATTCACCCATGTATAAGGGTGAATTGGCGAATGAACTTCGGGTGAAATGGTGAACTCACTTCTCATTCTTTTTACTACAGATGCCACACATGGATTTGTATTTTGAACAGTCTTCGTTGATAGCTAATACATTTGATCCAATCCACGTCCTCTTTAGTACTTGTAAGGTTCGCCGCACCCTACACAACAACACGTCCTCATCGTCGTCTTGCAAATAGATGTCTAGCGATGAGTCGGATTCGGTGTCGGTGGTAGACGCTTTTCGTTTCTTACGTTGCCTACTTTTGGTATTTCCTTTGATTATGGTTTATCCTTTGTCTATAGTTTTTCCTTTCGCCTTTCTTTTAGCATTTGCGTTACACTTTACTGACTCGGTTGTTTTGTTTTGTCGTTTTTTGTTTCGTAGGTGAGCGATGCCTGCTGGAGAACTCAAAACCTCAGCTAAAGCTCTGGATTTCTTTCTTGCAGATGCAACTTTACTTAGGACAGGTATCGGCGAAATCTGATCCAAGACTTTCCCAGGAGTTATTTCAGATTGATTGGTTGCGACTGTTGAAGACAGGTTTGTTGCTTCTGATGAGAAGTGCATGTTTTCCTGTAAATCTTCCGAGCGTTGCGAACAGCCCAGTTGTGGTGAAACTTGCCTATGTTCAAGTCCGAAATTACTATCTACTTCAGCGGTTGTTTCTTCCGAGAAATTCGGACTTTCCTGCTAGTGCGAACAAGATGGGTCAGGTGAAATAGGCATATATTTACGTCGCTCTTTGGTTTCCTGTTGTTGATATGAAGGTGATATTAAAAAGGCATATTCGGAATAATTCCTGTGCTTCTGAACCCGGATATTGTTCTCTGTCGTAGTTGCTGGTACCCATGCCTTGGCAAGCAGTTCTTCGAACACTATTCTCGAGATTTTTCTATTTGGGTTTATTTTAATGAATTAATTGCAAGCATTGTAGTAATATGATTTTAGAGCTTAAAAAATACTCTATCTAGCGGCTGGAGATAGTGAGTGGTGTGGCTGGGTAGGCAGTGCAAAATTATGTTATTTTCTTCTGCAAATTCTAATGTATCGGCAATTTCATTATCCTTATCTTTGTTAAATTTGTGATATTGGTTATATTTCTCAGCAATTTTGTATGCCATGATACGTACTTTAGTTTTTGTAGGTGCAAATCCGAATTATTGTAATGTTATAATATGTTTTACCATCTTCTTCTTATACAGGGTGTACCAATAAAAACTCCCAGGCCAGATATTTTAGTAAGTAATAGAGATATTTTAATTCTGTAAGAGTCAGTTTACAGGGCAATAAGAAAGCTTCAGTTTTAGTTAAATATTGAATTTAAATAGGTCAATATGTAGATGGCGCTAGGCTCAATAATGTTTTTTCGATGGGAGGATCTTTCTTGTGTAGCGCATCTTGTGAAAAATGCATTTTTAAGCAGATTTTGTTCTATGAACTAATTCGATAAATCTAGCCAATTTTGATATACAGAGTGGCTTACTCAAAACAGTTTCATCCTGTTTTTCAGCATTAATCAATGGATTTTAAGAAAATTCTAAAACAGGTCGATTTTTAATCCAAATTAAAAAAAAATTTACAATACAGACATCTGTCATGTGTCAACCCCTTCCCTTTCACTTCTCCAACTCCTTAATTTTAAATAAAGGTAATTTAATGGTGGATTCAGAAATATTTCTGTACATTGCTTTACTTAAATTTTATCGCTCTCTAACGGGATAAAAAATTACTATGTATTATAGAGTGTGACACTACAATGTGTAGTACATCATTAAAAAGGTAATTTTATGGGGAATTTAGAAATATGACTGTTCACTTCGATACTTTTAATTGTACCGCCCTCTATCGGGATAAAAAAACCGAATGTATTATAAAGTGTAACACCTTATTTGAAAACAAATTTAATTACTAATTCAATGCACCACATAACATTAATTAAATATCCTCCATATTGCACTTGCAATAGTTTGAAAATTAGTCATGCATTATTTTAAACATTATTGCTAAATTTATTTTGTTGCAACTGCAATATGGAAATATTTATATTAAGGTTATGTGGTGCATTGAATTAGTAATTAAATTAGTTTTCAAATGAAGTGTCACACTTTATAATACGTTACAGGTTTTTTTATTCCGATAGAGGGCGCTAAAATTAAAAGTATCGCATTAAACGGTCATATTTAAAATTCTCCATAAAATTACCTTTTCAATGATGTGCTATACATGGTACATTCCTTATTTAAAATTAAGGGGTTGGAGAAGAGGAAAGGAGGGGGTTGACACATGACAGATGTCTGTATAGTAAAAATGTGTTTAATTTGAAATAAAAATCAACCTGTTTTAGCATTTTCTAAAAATCCAATGATTGATACCTAAATACAGGATGAAACTGTTTTGAGTGACTCACTCTGTATATCAAAAATGGCTAGATTTATCGGATTAGTTTATAGAACAAAATATGCATTAAAATGCATTTTTTATAAGATGCGCTATATAAGAAAGTTCCTCCCATCGAAAAAAGTGTATTGAGCACAGCGCCATCTACATATTGACCTATATAAAATTAATTTATATCTAAAACTGAAGCTCTTCTAGCGCTCTATGAACTGATTTTTACAGAATTAAAATATCTCTATTACTTACCAAAATAACCGGCCTGGGAGTTTTTATTGGTACACCCTGTATTCTTGTGTTAAAATAGGCGGCCCGCTCAAATCTTTTTTCATGAAGCTAATCTTCTTTTCAGCGTTGACCATGGAACGCCAAATTCCTTTGAGGCTTCATTCAGGCTCTTTCCATCTCGTACTGCATTTACGGTATCTTTAGGCTGCTCCTCTGTCCAATTAGCACGGCTAGATCCTCTTTGCCCTTTGTAAAATGTGTAAAATATAGACATATTTGCCTGGAACAATGATGATAGGTAGAACTTTTAATTAAGCAGAGAAATATGAATGTGTGTTTTTTTTTAAACACTGACAAACTGAACTGAACTAAACCCAAAGAAACCAAAAGAAACCAAACAAAAAAATTAAAATATGATGGTACACTGCTCTTTCCACCAAGCCACAGCCGCTATTACGAGACGTCAGAAGAAAACAAAACAACTCACACAAAGAATAGGAAATACTAAAAATCAGTTTATTCGCAATACTTAGTTCCGAAAATTGCTTCACCGTATCACCCGTGCTCATCATATCTCCCATTTGCCATGGGTGAAACGGTGAATAGCACGACAAGAAGCTAAGAATAATAGAGCCAATGATTTATAGGTTATGTAGTGTATAAACAGTCTAAGGATGTAGAAAACATCAAAAAACACCTCGAGAACTACCCTACGTGAAGCAACACCTACAAAAGCATGCACCATATAAAAATTATTGAGCATCGGAAACAGTTTTGTGCAAATAACTTACGGTTTTTAAAACGGGACAGGTTTTCAATACGTGCTCACTGAATAGATGACCACAGGGTAGCCAGTTCCCCTGTAAATAGTTGGTAACAAGCTTGTTTGACCTCGACAGTGGCGCGCTGAGCGCGTTATGATGAACTATAATTCGGTACAGTCGGTAAAGTAGAAAACTACTAGGTAAAGCGATTTAAAAAATGGCGGGCTTTAAAATTTATGAAATTTGAAGTAATTTCAAGTAACATTTTCCTATTTTACAGCTTTTACTTACAATAATTGAAACAATCAATAAGTAAAATGAATTTTTATTGTAAGTAAATGCTGAAAAACGGAAAATGTCACTTGTTTTAAATGAAAAATAAAAACATTTGTAATAAGTTTATTTTATTTAGAATAGGTAACTATATCATTACATTATATTAAACATCATATTCACAATATGTTGAAAAATGTTCAAGGGTTGAAGTTAATTTAAAAATATATTTTTACACTAATCACGATTATTATTGTTATTAATATTATTATTTTATATCTATAAAATTACCTAATATCACAAAATTACACATTATCACAAAAAGTACACATTAAAAATAAATTGAGTTTACTACCTGAAATTTTTTTTATTATTCTTAAGCTCTATTGGGTGTTCCAGTGCCAGAGTTGCTAAAAAATAATTAATTAAGTTGAGATCAAAGTTTAAGAAAAATTTAAAAATAGTCACTTGTCAAATAAGTATTTAATTTTGTCATGAACTACATAATTTTAAGGAATAGGTAACTTTGGCATGTATAGAAATGATTTTAAAACAATAACAAAGACCAGTTGTTTTGAAATTTTGTTGGTTAGGTAACTCTGGCACTAAACCACTTTACTATCCCTTCACCCATCTATTTCGGTTCATTGTAGTTGCAATATCCATTCCAAAAATCTCCATACTCAGGAATAACTAAAACAAAAAAAATAAAGGCGCAGTGTGTATCTTAAAATTAAACTAAAATTTTTAAATAAATTTGTTTCTGATAATTTTAAAGCAGTCTTAATTGTATTTTTAGATTTTAATAAACTATTTTTTAATCTTGAAATTTTGTTTTGCTGCTCTCGATTAATATAATAAAATTTTCTCTTTCTAGGAGTTAAATTACCAATTGTAGTTGCATTAATTTGATTTAAAATACCAGTTCTTACACGTGGTTTCTTTATTAAAGGTTCCTCAACACATTCAATTCCATCATTAAAAAAATCTAGCTTTCTTTTAGCTGAAGTTATATTCGAAACAGAAGGTTTAATCAAAACATTACTAATTACATTTATTTTTGCAAGAGAATTTGATGAAGGTAGCTTTGAAAAATTTTCATCTAATGTAATATTATTATTAGTAGTAATATTCTCTTCTAAAGGCGCTAAAGGCAAGGCAAATTTAATGAGCTTAGTAGGCAAAGTGCTGGTGAAGGCATTCTCGTCAAAATGATCCTCGCACTATAGTTTTTTTTAGATGTGTAGGGAATATTTAAAATATCAAACCATTTCTCTCTAAGGGTAATAATGGACGGAAAAGTAAAAAAATTTCTTATTAAGTGAATGTAAATAATATTTGCTTCTGCAATTTGGAGCAGCACATGATAATGTGAATTTATTATAAGTTAATGACATCGTTAAGGACCTCAGTATATTTTTACACCTATAAATTACTTAAATTTAACTAAAACTAAATTAAAAATAATATTAATTAAATTTTACTCACCTACATTTTCCACGACTGTCATGTTTTAGTGTAACATAACCTAATTTATTAGCAAAGCCAGATTTACACCACCTCATAATATTCAAATGTAGCTTTAACTTTATAAATTTATAACAATTATCCCTGTATTTGATCATTATATTGTATTAAAGTGATATTTAAAAGATTGCATTAGTAAAATTATTGATTTCTTTAAAATTTATTCATTTTTTAATTATCATATGGGTGTAAAAACGGCTTTTATTTAGTGCTCGCAGCGCGTGAAGCACGATATGATAAACTACAAACAAGGAAACAATTCCCGCCTATTATTCAAACCTTCTCTTTTTAGTTTTTCTATGGATGACCATAAATTGTCGGCATTCAGACTTACAGAGACATCTGTGTACACGGAAAGGAAGTAGAGTAGTTCACCATTTCACTCTGGTTTACCCTAGCCATTACGGGTTGCTTTGCAAAAAAATAATACATTAAAATGAGAAAAACAATAAACCTGATTTACCTAACCTGTGCATAAAATTAACCGATCGCTCACTAACTGGTATGGAAAATTAGTTTAGATTTTAAAATTTTCTCAAATTTTGTATACACATTTTACACCACACCACCTACTAATTAATTCATTGTCATAAAAATGTGCCATTTTTACTTAAATAGCAAGAATAATTAAATAAAAATAAAAAATACAAGATCCACGTGAATGATAAACCACGAAATGATATGGTTAATATATCTACCTATGCATCCTTACAAGTCCATTATATATTTATATTATATGAAAGAAAATAATTTTTTTGTAGATTGGCATAGTCGGAAGAACAGGCGCTGGAAAATCAACGCTGATCGCTTCGTTGTTCAGACTTGCGCCGATAGATGGTACCATACTTATTGACAATTTCGATACTGCACAACTGGGTTTGCGGTATTTAAGATCGAATATTTCCATTATACCACAAGAACCAGTTTTATTTTCGGCTTCGTTACGATACAATCTAGATCCATTCGATAAACACGATGATAGCGTATTATGGAAAGCATTGGAACACGTATGTGTATTTGATTAAATCTTTAAAAATTTTATATTAAATGATTCATACTTTTAGGTTGAAATTAAAGACGCACTTCCAGATCTCAATATGACCATCAGCGAAGGAGGCTCCAATTTAAGCGCGGGACAGAGACAGTTGATTTGTCTTGCGAGAGCTATAGTGAAAAACAATAAAATTTTGGTGTTGGATGAAGCTACTGCTAATGTGGATCCTCAGTAAGTCAATCTTTATATAAAATAGGATAATTAAATCAAAGGAGTTTCAAAAATCCCATAATATTATATCTATAAATATTTGACCTTAGAATTAGTCCCAATACATATTTCTCCTATCATATTGTCCCATTGCATTATATTGTTATGTGAGCCATTTCATTATTCAGTTATGCTCTAATCCTCCAAGTCCTTCTCTGTCTTATTTGGCCTTTGAGGCTCAACTTGTCCGATTATCATACATAATTAAACCCCTTAAGACCAAAAATATGTGACGACTATGGCGGAGGCACTTTGGCGAACATTCCTGAGTCATCGTAATATTTCTGGTCTCTTCCGGATATGAGATGTTTTGGTAGAGGAGCATTCTGGATCACCAATTTGAATATAAATATTGGTGGAGGATCAACGAAAGTCATTAGATATATGGACAGTGAAGATAAATAGTGTACAGTTTAAAGACATTCGAAATATATATAAATTATCATAGTAGTGTTATAAAATAAATAAGTGTTTAAATAAATTATTAATAAATAAATTATTGTTTAAAAGAAACAAACATCACATTGGTGTCGAGAAGTGAAATAGTGCAAATAAATAGTGGACAATAATGGCTAAAAGACTCTGTCGGGAGCTTAGATAAAAGAGACCGGAGATGTAACATTGCACATTGCGCATGTTGTCTATTCCAAACCTAAGTAACCCACCAATTAAAAATCATTGTGTTCACGACGCCACCCGAATTGCTCCGAACTTTCTATTCTTTGCTTGTCTCCGCGTGAGTAAATCATTTATGGACCGCCGTTTTTGAATTATTTGTTGGTGTTATTAGCAATTTAAAGTGTTTTAGTTATTCAATTTCAAGTTGAAAATGCCACGATGTATGGTGAAAAATTGTATATACAAATAATATGTGTCAATGTTATGAAAAATAAGAAATATTATATTCGTTTTCAGCGGTAAACATTTGTTGACATAAAGTCGCCATGATTCTTTGAGCTGAATACTTCAGATCCGCATTAAGGGGTTTCAATAAATATTTAATCTAAATAAGAAGTAAATAGGCATTGTTACTAACGAAATTTTGTTTTTGAAAAGTAGTTTTATAAGAATATTTACTAAAAGTGGTTTTTAGCCCTTTATTAGATATTTTTACAAGAATATTAGATGAAATACAGGTTCACCTAATTAAAATTTCAAGGTTTATTTTATTTGCGGTTAAATCGGAAGTGACATTTGAATCTTAAATCTTAAAACAAAGTAAAACGCGCAATATGATCTAGTATAAGCAAAAAATACTAAAGTTACGGAAATTAGTCATATTATTAGTAAAATGTTACATTATAAACCCCTAAACAACTCGAAAAATATCTTCGTTTACTAAAAAAATCTAAATTCTAGCAATATTTATTATACAATCGAATGCGGTTTTAAAGAAAACAGGAGCAATAAATCCGAATCTGTAAATTTTGGAGCTAAATGCTCTGATAAAAGCATGCGACCGATAGGGGTTACAAAAATAATCGATTTATCGTTTTCATGAAAATCGATTTATCCGTTATAATTAATCGATTATCTTTAATAGATTATTTTTGATTAATCGAACATTTTTAATAAATTTTTTTCGTTTTTTTTTAGGTAATGGAATAATCGATTATAAAGGAATTACAAAAAGAGAGTAGTTTTATTCAAAATATTCGATTTATTGAAAATAATCGATTTTTTAGAAAAATCGATTTATTGTTTAATAGACTTTTTAAATTAATCGATTATTTTCGATTAATCGATTATTTTAGATTAATCGATTATTTTCGATTTTTCAAAGGTATTCGAATAATTTGTTTTAAAATACAAAAAATAGATTATATAAAAATAATCGACTGATCGAATATAATCGGTTATATTATATAATCGATATTTCGGTTATTTTTTAGAATTATTGATTTATCGGTAAATCAGCTTTTTATTAATCAATTATTTTCGATTTTTCAAAGAAAATTAAATAATCAGTTTTAAAAGGAATATAAAAAAAGAAAAGGATTATTTGTAAATAATCAATAATTATTCAGTTTTTTTTTGGAAAATCGATTTATCGTAGAATCTTCTTAATTAATTGGTTATTTTCCGTTAATCGATTATTTTCGATGTTTAAAAAATGATCGAATAATTGATTTTAAAGGAAATAATTTTTTTTTTTTTGAAAAATCGATTTATCGATTATTCGGCTTTTTAATTAATCGATTATTTTTGATTAATCGATTATTTTAGATTATCAAATAATCTGTTTCAATGGAAATACGAAAAAAAAAATAGAAATTAAAAATAATCGATTATTTAACATAAACGATAATTCGTTTATTATTTTTTGTAAACACTGATTTATCGGTTAATTGGCTTTTTAATTAATCTATTTTTTTTTTATTTTTTAAAGACAATCAAGTGGTCTATTTTAAAGGAAATACGAACAAAAATAGATTGTTTGAAAATAATCGATTGATAGAAAATAATCGATTGATCGAAAATAATCGATTATTATTAATGATCAATAATTTATTTCGATAATCACCCACTCCTAGCGACCAAATTACTTTTAATAGGTTTAAATTTTAAAATGTTATCTGGTTTCAGAAATATACATTTCTAGAGTTTTATGTGACGCATCCTCTATATTAATTAATATTCCTAAAGAAACAAGCTTTAATATATCTTTTTCTGAGGTTATAATACAAAACAGCATTTTCTCAATTTGATTAAATTTTAATATTATGTGATAGTCGTAGAAAAAATATAATGTTCAACTCACAAGGTTTGATTTGCAGTATTCGCCTGCGCACATGCTTTTTTATAATACTCTTAGACAATGAGTACCATTTCTTATACTCGATTAACAATATTCTATTTCAACATTTTACTGTAGTCTCTTACAGAAAAGTCCATAGTAAATAATTGCTAACGAAATATTCTATAAAAGGTCTTCTCTTTACATAAAATGTCGTGGCATCTGTTTGATATTAAAAAATCACGTTAAATTTATTTCATAATACAAAATTCCATTAAACGTATATTTTAAATAAATCTAATAGTTCATTATGATGCTAATAAACAAAGTCCGGTCCCTGTCACAGAGTTCGAGTCCCTGCCCAGTTCCCCCACTCCGTTAACCTTTCTTTAGAAATTGGCAACATTTGCGCAGGTTAAACACCGGTGTATGTTATATCTCTGGTCTCTTTTATCTAAGGTCGGGAGTTAGAAGATCGCGAGTTGGAAACGACAGGGAAGAAAGCAGAACTAGCAGAACGACTTAAAGAAGCAATAGAAAATGAAGGTTTTGATTCGGAAACGTATCTATTTTCTTATGATTCATCTTCTGCTATAATTTCTTTAATTTCTTCCGATATGGATAGTAAAATCTCTTCCTTAAAAACCGAAATGTCTTCTAATATGACATTTATGAAAACCGATATTTCTTCCAACATTTCTTTATTAGAAAATAAAGTTTCTTCCGATGTTTCCTCTATAAAAAATGATATTACTTCCTTAGAAAGTTTCGTCCGATATTTCTTCCTCAGAAGAAAAAGTGACTTCTGACATGTTCTTTAAAAATCGAAATTTCTTCCGATTTGGAAAACAAAATCTGTTCATTGAAAGATGAAATTTATTCTGATATGTCTTCTCTAAAAAATGAAATCTCTGCTGATGTGGAAAACAAGATTTCTTCTGTAGAGGAGAAGATAAAAGAGATGGAAAAGAAAATAGAAGAACTGGAACATACTATTTTTTTTATAGAATGTAGATTAAAAAATAAACTAAATTTTACTCAAACTGTATGTAGATAATTAACGTTCCTGCAAGACATGGATGGCCACATAAACACTTATAGGTATTATTATATTTATTAAACTAAGATTAAAAATATGCTCTAACCCTCCAAGTCCCTCTCTGTCTTATTTGGCCTTTGAGGCTCAACCTGTCCGATTATTATACATAATTAAACCCCTTAAGACCAAACCTATGAGACGACTATGGCGGAGGTACTTTCGCGAACATTCCTGAGTTATCGTGATAATCGTCTCTTCCAAATATTTCTAGTTTGGTGGAGGAGCTTCGAGAGCCCACCAAACTTTAGAAATTTGTATATAAATATTGGTGGAAAAACACAGTGCAGTCAGTTATTATATGTACAGTGAAGATAAATAGTAATTAGTAGATAGACAGTGGTCAATATAAATAGCGAACAGTTTAAAGACATTCGAAATATATATAAATTAGAATAGTGTTATAAAATAAACTTGTCTCTACCTGTCCGATTGTCTCTGCCTGTCTGCTCAATTCTATCTCTCTGCTATTCTGTACCTATCTGCTAATTTCTATCTGTGTGTCTTGTTCGTGTTTACCTGTCTCTTATGTATGAATCTGTCGTGCCTCTGCCTCTCCTGCTTCTACCTGTCTTTGCTTCTTTCTAATGTATTGTTTTTAATTAAAATTCTTATGTACCTTTTATTTTATTTATTTCTTCTATCTGGTTTAACAATTCTCCAACTCTAACATCATTAATCTAATATAACATTCTAAATATCGTCCCTCTGATAGTTTTTTTATTCCCACTGACAATTAAAAATCATCTGCCATTTTTTTTCCATCAACAACAACCCCGACATTTTGATTTTTCACTTAAATTTTACTTTCCAGACACTTCACCACCCCAGTATTGTTCAATTTAGATATTAATTTTGATGACGTCAGGAATTTCTATATCAATATATAAATTAGAATAGTGTTATAAAATAAATAAGTGTTTAAATAAATTATTGATAAATAAACTGTTGTTTAAAATAAACAAACATCACAATATATTAATTTGTAACTTATCTATTATTGGTGTCCCCATAAGCACTTTGGTTATCATTAAAAGTTTCTATTTTAGATTCCATAGCTAACTCAACTAAATACCTTCCTCTTTTTGACATTTTCACACTTTTTATTCTTGTTTATCTTCGTATTACCCGATTTAAGTTCCAAAAAAAAATTAACTAATTTACGGTCGAAAAGTTCAAACTCAACTGATTGACTGTTTGATTACACAGGTGTTATTTATATATTTATTCCCGAGGAATAACCTAGCACGTGAGTTGTCAGTTTTCCAGTGAAAACCTTACAGACTCATTTATACTGGAAAAACATAGTATTATAGGGACCGTGCGTCATGACTTTAACGCTAACTGGTGACAAAAATGTGAACTTTATGGGGGTATTTATTAATGTTTTATACGGCATTTATTGTTTAATAATTATTAATAAAATGAAGTCGAATTATTTTCGTAATATCAATATCGAAAAAACTTGTTGCATCCGTGGATGTACAAACACATCACTTTGGAAACCTGGATTTCATTCGATAGTAAAGAAATTTTATAAATTTCCACAGAGCACAATTATGCCTCACACCCAATGATATACATAATTACAAAGATTGCTTATCCATATGTAAATCAGACGACGAAAAACGTATTTCACTGGGCAAAGTTTTCTTTTTATCTAGCTTGTATCATTTTTGAGCACTTAGTTGTAAAGAAATCATTTACAGAACCGGTTTAGAAATTAATCTTTAGTGTTTTCTTGTCATTAAGATTTTTACATATTTAAATGAACATTTTATATAAATATCATTTTACAGATAATGGTTTATTCTGTTGATTAAAACTAATGTAGAATATGAAATAAGAATGTCCAATTTGACAAAAATGTCACGGCCCTCTTTACAATTTATTAACTATTTCTCATTTATTATTAAAATAATCATATAAATAATACATTGCAATTACTGTCAAAAGAGATTGTAACAAACTTTAAAATATTAAAAATCCAGTGATTTTTGTAAATTTTTTTAGTGACATTACCATTAAAAATTATTCAGAATAATAGATAAGTGTCCAATTACAACTCTTCCCAAAGTTGTTTATACCTCATATCAAAATTGTTTACATTACCTTTTCAAAATTGTATTACATATTGCAATTATGTATTTTATGTAGAATTGTTTCTGAAATAGTAGTCTACAATTATTTATATCTATCTGTTATAAAAATTGTTTAGATCTCTTAATATTATTTAACTACATGAAAACTCAACTTTCCAAATACATAATGACATGTCTTGAAGTAAAACTTTAATTATTTTCTTTTTCTAAAGATTAAAATGCTGAAATTTTATTTTAAAACACATTTGGGCTAGAATGGCTCTATTTAGTGAGCACTAGGAAAGGCACATTGCAACCCGCTTTTCATAATTTTTTTATAGATGGGTGAGCAATCTATAATATGTATCATTGAACATCTCATAAACGTCAGTGGATGAATGACATTTCGATTAACATAAAGCTAAAAAGATTTATAATTATTATTATCAATCTTTTTTATTAATTTACATTATTTAAATGTTATTGTAATACTTTTAAATTCAGTGTTACTAAATACCGATATTTTAACATTGGATACACTTGTTTAAGGTACAACTTTACAATTTATTGTCACTTAGCCATTTAAATCTTTTTGCTTAAAAAGTATATGCATGTCCAGATTTTAATAATGTTTCACATTTTACGTCATTTTGACCATGTACACGATTGTTTGGTACGGGCCGGTATCTATTTTTAACTATATTTAATATTTAAAAAAATACCCTTAATTATTTACTTGCAATGTTTACCCCATTTAATTCTAAAATTAAACACTAGAGAGGGCTAAGTTCGGCAGTAGTGCTGCCTCTATATTTCACGCACGGTCCCTATTGGGCATAAATTAATAAAAATGTTATAATGCACTGGAAATACGTAGCAAAATATTATTGCTAAGTTTTTCCATTTTAAATAAATCTAATGTGTTTTGATAATAAAATAGTAGGATAACTAGATATGTTTTTCCGCTGAAATATAGAAAATATATATTAGCTTAAACCAACGGAATAAGTCAGTAAATAGTTTTGTTATCTTTTTCCCTAGCAAAGAAACAATAAACTCGTACAAATTACACTAGCGAAATAAATATGCTGGTTTCTTCCTTTGGAATGTTATGTTGCTATATTTTACCGTTGTAAAATTGTCATATTTTACACTTACTAGGAAATTCCAGAAGTGATTTCGTGCTTATTTTTGAACATATCACAAGTTTTTTGATACCTATCCAGTGAAAATAGCTAGCAGATACATGTAAAGAAAAACTAAATTTGGCTAAAAAGTGAGTTACTAGGTTTTTCCTTTGCACGGGAGACCAGTAGTTTTGTATCTTCTAACTATATTTTTTACACTATATTGTGATAAATCTAATATATTTACAATTTCCGAGTTCGATTTTACAGAACTGCAATGTTTTATAACAAAAAAACGTATTTTTTCGTCAATTATTTTTCCTCTACCCATTTTACTAGACATAATTAGTTTAAAAGAGGTGAAATTTTCTTGTGACAGTTATCTGCATTATTTTTTTTGGTTATTTTTTCAAAGCTACCTTCGATTCTGGCTTATTTTCTAACGAATTGAATTCAAGTTGAAATATTGCAATAATGCTCCATGTGTTAATAAACATAAAAATAAGGAAAGAAGTAGATGCTTTCTAGTTCTAATATAATTCTAAATTGATGCATTGTTAATTAATTTATGATTTAAAAAGCATATAATCTTTAATACTTTCTTATTGTCGTTATATAATAAAAGTATTAATAGATGGGCCAACTGAAATGGGAAGGGGCTCGTATACGGACGACGCGACGCTGTGATCTTAATTCCAGTCCCAATAGTAAATTAAATTAGAGTACTGTTAATAAACATTTTGCATTTTTAGGACTGACTCCCTAATCCAAAGAACAATTCGCGAGAGATTCAAAGACTGCACCGTACTGACCGTCGCTCATCGACTCAACACCATTATGGATAATGATCGAGTTTTAGTTATGGACGCTGGTCAAGTAATGGAATTCGATCACCCTTATAATTTGTTACAAAATTCCGAAAGTTTCTTATCCAAGATGGTCAACGAAACTGGATCGGAGATGGCAGACAAATTAAAAAATATAGCCAGAAATGCTTTCCGTCACAAGAATGAAATGTCCTACGAAAATGGCACTTTAGGATACAGCGATTAATAATAGTAAACATTTTTTTATTAGAAAACTTTACAATCATTTACTGGTAATATAATTTACAATTCTGCAGTCGTTGATGTGAATTTTAAATAAATAATTAGTTACCAAAAATAAAAAATCCCAATCTATTATTTGTTCATGTGTAAGTTTGAAACCGAAATTAAAAATGTCCACCAAAATTAGATAAGACAATTATTCATCTCATGCTCGGACAGTAGGTAGGAGAGACTGTTGTACCAAAGTATATTAACCGTTGAGTAGCGACATAAAGCGTCGGTGCCTTTGATCTTGGGTGGTGCAAATTGTATTTCTCTTTTGACGTTATTGACGGAACGACACACTAAAACACTGCTCGAATTATGAACTGGTCTTGAATGTGATGTTTACACTGCTCGACGTAATTTGAAGTAAAACTCTTTTGTAGTTTACATTTATAATAAAGGTTTGGTCATTAGGCAGTTTTTTATTTATGAGTATTTAACTTATGTAATAAATATAAAAATATATATCACTATTGACAAATTTCAATTTTTTTACCTACGTCCGGATGAGCTAGAGACTTGAAAGTTGGTAGGTGCACAGGGTTTTGATTTTTGATAACAATAGAAATTATTACTTATGAACCTTCTTATTTATTAATCGAGTTGTCTCAAACTTTAAATTTCGCGTTGAATACAATTTTTGACTAATAAATCCACAACAACGAATTCCCATATCAGCTGCCGGACTAAAGTGAAAGGGGTTGTTTACATCTTTAGAAGACAGATGTCATCTGACAGAGGAACGCGTTATTTGCTCTAATTTCAGTGCACGGCATAAGAAACAATCGGCAGGCTAACTTGTCTTGGCGGCAATGCTACGCGCACATTTAAGCGCACACGGCCATTTTGGGGTCCAACCTCTCAATCAAGCCAGTGGCGTCACTGCCGTCGTTTATATTGACAAAAACAAACAAGTTGCAGCAGCTCGGAATCAGTAGCGTGTGTCTTAAATTTATTTTGTTCGTGATTGTGATGTGTGTATTATGCAGTTATTGTTATTTTTTTAGAATTATAGGTATTTTTTAACACTTTTAATATAGCAGTTGTTTTCCAGTGTTAATTTGTTAACTTTTACGTGTTACGTGTATTAAAAGCTTTTTTCGGTTTCCTAAAGATCCTATTAGGTAGGTATTGCCGCATTTGAGAATCCACATCGAATGCATTTTTTACATCTCGACCGTTTTTTTATCCACATCGGACACATCTGTACCATTAAATTTACGTATACTGAAGCACGTGATCAAAGATTTACTACATCTCAGATGCATCCGATGTGGATTCTCAAACGCGGCATAAGTATGGTGTATATATTTAAAAAAAATCCTAGGTTATGGGTCAGTTCGTCAGTTGTAAACCTATTAGTAAGATGTAGGTAGGTGCCTGGTTAACGTCATGTAAAGTTTAGCGTCAATTTATATTTATTTATGTAGGTATATTATTAAGATTTTAAGTTAAATGTTATATTTTAAACATCTCCTTATTCTAAGTGTGCTCCCGTATGGAGTTGACAAAATGGAAAAATCTTTATTTTTATTTTAAGGAAAAAGTCATTATAAAAAAAATTGTGTTTGACGAAAAAATAGGTTTACTGTATTAATATGTTAGGTCAGATGTACAGGGTCTTAATAAATGAAGAAACATGAAATTGACAGGAGGAAAAAATCTTTATTATTGATTTTACGAAGAGAAGTCACAGTTTTCCTGTCGGTTTTCTTAATAACTTCAAAAGGAAACTTTTTCTTGTAATTTTTTTCAACATGCAGAATTGTTTTCTGAAAAAAATGATTATTAATCGTAATTGTGTTATCCCCAAATATTGAAATACTTAACAAAGATTTAATTCTGATATTCATTTTGATAATAATTATTCTAGATATGCGAATTTAATTATGTATTAACCAAGCTTTTTAATTTTAATAAATCTAAAGTATTTTCATTACATAAAGCAAGAAAATCTTAATTAGACATTAAAGAAATTATAAGTAGTAAATTAAAAATTAGTAATGAGTCACATACAATCAAAATCATGTTTTAAGCAGTTTTTCGCTTTCAACGATTGTTTTTTTTTTTTTTTTTTTTTCGTTTCAGGATTTATAGATGGAACTCTTGTTTTATTTCGCACGATTAAAGAAAAATGTTATTTAAAATAGTTGTTTATTCAGAAAATGTATATTATGTTTATTGTTGTAACCAATAAAGATTCTACAAATAATATTTAGTTAATATATAATTTTATATCATTTATTTTACACTTCTAAAATTCTTATATTTTGTCGAAAGTAAATTCAGAAGCCCGCCAATTTTCAAACTAAAATAGCATTACATCTTTCTATATTACCAACTGAGTATTAATTGCACAAAACCACCGACCTTGATATTAAACTGGATGGCTATATGACATAAACCCTACACCTATTTTCTCAGCCGACATGGGTGAAAAAAACGGTCGGTGCGCATGACAATTTTTGCGCCAGACTGTCAATTTTAAGCATTCTACGTCACATTTTTCACGGGCGTACTATGATAAATTATATTATTTTTTATTAATAACGCCCTATTTTAATATTATTATTGGAACATTTGTTTCAGCTGCGTATTAATCAAAAATAATTTTTAAGTGATTTTCTTAAATTAAAAGTTGTCTAGTTGAATGTAATAAGTGTTAAATTTAATTTTGATGATTCTTTTTAGTACATTTCGATACGCACATGTTGGCGCCGAAGTGTCAAATATCACCTCGCTATGCGGCTTGATTTTGTTGATCGGCTTTGGTCTTCCAGTTTAATATATAGTTCAGTGCACAAAACTATCCCATATGTCGCTGAAGGTAAACATGTTGCCAAATTTCTGTGAGGAATCGGCAACTCTTAATGTAAACCCTACACCGGTCCAATTTTAAAGGACGTTCAAAAAATTGCAATGTTTGAATTTATTACATTCTGGAACTGAAAACTGCGAAGCAGATGGGGATGCTTTACTTATAAGGTTGCATGAAATTCGTAGGACTAGTAAGGATGAACCTCGTATATGTTATTAAGGGCCGATTCCACCGTTGTGTTAAACGAAGATTAAAAAGACATTTTTACATTAACGATGTCAGTTTAAACTTCGTTTAACACAACGGTGTAATTGGCCTTAAGTTATATTTATATAGAAATTTCAAGACCCTCAATAAAAACTAGCTAATTATTTGGCGCAATTTGTAGAGCATATTGTCTTTCTTAATGCTGTTCTTATAAGTTAAATTAAAATATATTTTATGTAAATTTTTACCTTTTTGTTTTAATACTACCCTGCCTATTAATACCTTATTTTATTACAAAATGTTTAAATACTCTTTAATCCGGCCCTGACTAAGACCCCCGAATGGCGTCGCCAAGGTCAAATTTTCTTAGTATAATATTTGTATGCGATCAGCGGCAAGTGAGCCTGCCGATTGTTTCTTATGCCGTGCTCAGTGTTCGATAGTACACGCCGAAAGTTTCGAGCATAAAAAGTAAATTATTTTAGATTTACATTATATCTTATAATTTCGGATAGTAAGAGTAAAGTCAGAAGTTTTCTGTAAGCACTTCAACAATATATTGTGGTAAGTATTTTTACATTTAGGTTTTTTTATTCATCATAAAGAGCGTGGAGAAAATACGAGTTGTTTACAAAAATGTATCCTATTGTACCTTGTAACAAGATAAGGGGTTCGGAGACTATCGATCTCAGAGCGTTCATGGAAATTTTAAACCCAGGTTAGTGTGTTGACGAATTTATTAAACTAAAAAACATACATATGAATACAAAATACATTATACAATAATTTAAAATACATACCTAAACCAGGGACAATGAATATTGTAATAAATCACTAATATCAAAATTCCCCACAGGGTTTTAGTTCAACTTTGATTATTTATTGGTTGACATGGATATGATTAATTTTTGGTAACCCAGTAACTAACTAGGGAATTTTGCTACAACCTTGAAACACACCGACACATGTACCATGAAACGTGTTCCAAGGTACAAGAGGTGTTAAAATACGAACATGATATTACTTTTTCAAGACAGGAGGCCTAAAATATATATTTTTTTACAGAATCCTAGAAGTTGGAAAAAATAGACCGGCCGTTGATGCTGCTTCACTTGAAAGAGCTGTTACCTCCGATAATGGTATTTCATTAAGGGAAGCATGCAAAGTATTTAAAGTTTCACTGGCAACTTTGTCCAGACATTTAAAACAATTCAGGGAGTCTGGAAAACAAATATTTACATATTCCATAAAACTTGAAGTAAAGAAGGTATTTACCGAAGCAGAAGAAACCAGTTTGGTAAATTATATAAAAAATATTGCTAGAATGCAATATGGCCTCAGTAAAAAGTGTGTTCGTGAGCTAGCCTATAAGTTCGCAAAGGCAAATAATAAAAGCGTACCTCCTAACTGGGACAAAAGCCAAATAGCGGGAGAAGAATGGATGCGCTGGTTTATGAAACGGCACAAAAATATCCTTTCAGTGAGAAAGCCAGAAGCTACTAGTCTGTCAAGATCAACTAGTTTCAATGAAAATAATGTAAACAAATTTTTCAATAATCTTGAAGATGTCCATAACCGGTTTGGGCCAATCCCGCCAGAAAGAATTTGGAACACAGACGAAACTGCATTAACGACGGTTCAAAAACCAACTAAATTTTGGCCCCTAAAGGGGAAAAACAGGTTGGAAGTGTAACTTCAGCTGAACGTGATCAGTTGGTTACTCTTATTGCAGCAGTAAATGCTATCGGAAACCATATTCCCCCCATGTTAATCTTTCCTAGGGTTAATTTCAAAGATTTTATGCTTAGTGGTGCCCCCCCTGGGACCATTGGAGGTGCAACTCCCTCCGGATGGAGTAATGAAGACCTTTTTGTCTGTCGAAGCTCTCGAATATGCGTATACAGTCGGTATTGTTATGTTAACGTTTCCCCCTCACACGTCTCATAAGTTTCAACCCCTGGACCTTTCTGTTTATGGACCCCTGCAAACATTCTATGGCCAGTCTATTGATGCACGGTTGAGAAACAATTCGGGTAAAATATTTACAATTTATTGCATAGCTGAAGCTTTAGGACAAGCTTACCCTCGAGCATTTACTACTAGTAATATTGTTAGTGGATTTAAGAAGCCTGGAATATATATATATATCCCTTCCACCGTGGCGTTTTTTCAGAGCAAGACTTCATGGTGTCATATGTAAACGATCAATTTAATTATTAAATAATTTATTTAAATAAAATAAATTTATAATATAATAAATCAACTCACAAATTTTTTTTTTCCTATATAAAAATTAATAAAAATATTGGTCTTGTAAATCAAATTATGAATTAACACTTCCTTCTGATGTTCCTCCAGATAACAGTTGTAACACTCGCCCATCTTCAGAGCCAATTCCGGGACCATCCTCCAGAGAAAGAACACGTTCTGCCATTCCAAATAAATCTAGTTTTGTTTCTCCAGAACTAATTTGTCCACATCCAAAGGGTTCGCCTAGGAAGAACTCGAAAAAAGGTAGAAAATCAGGAGACACCCGCTTTGTGACTGATACACCAGAAATGGAAGAAATAAAACAACAAAAATAAAGTAAGTCTTCCAGTTCAAAAGCGAAAACTAAGCAAAAGGATGGATCAGGGGAGATTTTGTTAAACGATGACAGTGATTCTGATATATTGACGGAAGAGATTACTAATTTTGAGGAAGAAGAGCAATTTATTTCGAGCTCCTACGCTGTGAGTGATTATGTTCTCGTTCAGTTTCCTAAGAAAAAGGGCTTGACAGACTACTTCAATTGAAAGATTATTTCAAAGGACTTAGCCGAGAGCGAGTTCAAAATTGAATTTTACAAGCGGCTCAGAAGCAGCAGCAATAAATTTGTTAAAGAATCTGAAAAAAATATATGGCAACGACTTGGTTATGAAGCTGCCTCAACCAGCTCGTGATTCGGATTCGTGATTCGAATCAATTTTTTGAGGATTCGTCCCAGCTCTGCAAGATTGTTTAATAGTAAATAATAATTTAAACCTATTTAAAAAGAATGTCGCATGTTTATCTGAATTAAATATTTTTAAAAAGTTCTATCTAGGTCAGGAGTACAAAATAAATGGTTATTATAATATTTTACTTTTCTGATAGTATCTTTAGTTCATGAGATACTTAAGATCAAAAATCATTTCTTAAGTCTTAAGTTTTAAAGCCTAAAACTAACAACGAAATCGCTTTATTTGTTGTAGATAAAATTTAATTTGAATAAAAATTAAAATTTTAAAATTTCGTGAGTTTATCATACATAGATAACATTATAATAGTAATACCTACCAGTGCAAAATCTAGTAGTTGTGCTGTTATATTCAGCACACATGTTCTTCATGTTAGAAAATCCATTTAATTAAATTTAATTATAAGTAGGTGCTTAATTAAATGCACCACACGGTACCTGCATATTATATTTTCTTGTAATGTTGCAGAAAGTATTTAAACTTAAATAAACAATGGATTCATCGAAAAAACACGTCAAGCCTTCTCCCGAGGAAAACGCTAATTTATTTTCGAAATTTTTTTATTGGTAAGTAAACTGTTTTTTTATTAGCCTTTTCGTGAGAACTATTAGAATTTTTCGAGGTAGAAATTTGTGAACTTAACCTTAAAAGCGTACAACACTACCGGTATAGTTCGTTTAGCAAATCAAAAATTAGTTCCCTATTATCGTTTCAGCTTATTACCACCAATAATTAAATGATTCAAGTTGTTAGTACTAGGGCTTGGAAAATATGCACTTAAAAATGGTCTAAATATGTATGCATTTATGCGTGAACAATAGACAAAATATGCTTTTAAATATGCAAAATAAAAAGACAGTCATTTTGGATATTTAAATTTTATTATAGACTTTTTAAACATATGATTAAATGATTTTACATTTCTATCAATTACATCTAATTAATTATTATTATTAGAAGAAAAACTAAGTTATTAAATATTTTTCAATGTTTTCAATAGTGAAACATTGCCTTCTATTACTTAAAATATGTTTGTACGCCGAAAATGAACGTTCCACTTCACAAGACGTTATAGGTGCATATTAAAATTTTGAAATTAAAAGTGGTGAAATATTTGAATCCAATTCATTATTAAAGTTGCCAGATAAAACATTATTTATGAAATCCTTTATTATTTAGTAAAACTGATGTAAATTTTCGTGTAACAATATTTTCCATTAACACAGACTGTTCAATCAAAGATTTTAAATTTTTAACTGTTTGTATGCTTTCAAATAATGCCATACCTCGAGATTCAAGCTTAGTTATGGCTGTGGCTATGCATGTATAATTTGCTTGAATGTGGACACTATGGCTATAAACTATAGGATCGTGAAAAATATCGATGCATTTTTTAATGGCAATTGAGTCTTCTGGGTCAAAGTCGCAGATGATATCTTTAATTTCGTTAAAATTTGTCGCAATAAAAGTAACACAGTTTAACCAAGTGCCCCATCGTGTTAAAACTGGTTCTGGTGGCAATAGAATTCCTGGCAAACGATTCTTATAAAATTGAACGGGAAGAGGAGCTTTTAAAAAAACCTTTTTAATATTTTTAATTAAATTATTTACGAGTGGAAATTTATTCCTAACCGTCTCAGCCACCCTATTTAAACCATGTGCTAAGCATGTGCAATGGATTAAATTCGGATAAAATATTTTTAAGTTTCCAGCTGCTTTTACCATGTATGCATCATCATCAGTGACCATTAATAAAATATTGTTTGTAGGCACTTGTCTAGGTAATTAAAAATTTGTTAACGAATCGTTATTAAATCTTGTGATCGTTAAATTATTTGTTTTATCTAAACCTTTAACTGAAATTAAATATCCTTTACCAGGGATATTTTCATCTATTTCGCCTATTATAAAATTTGCAATATAGCGCCCCTGCGTATCAGTTGATTCATCAACCTGAAACCACAGAAGTTTATCGTTAATTTAATTTCTTATAGAATTCAATGCGTTCTCAAAATGAACTTGAACATATTTTTTGCGCAAAACAGAAGAACTGGGTAAATTTCTAAACAGAGGATTATCCAATTTGTGAAATGTCTATTAAAATTGTCCTAATGATAAGAAGTGTTTCCTTGGTCTGTTATGAACTGTTGAATCAATCGGTTATAAGTTGTTTTCTGGATAAGTGACTTGTTGTTCCTAAATGTTGATCCACTTGAAATTTTTTAGAACAGACAATCTGCAAAAAGAGATCTAACGTCATCGTCAACTATAAAAGAATTTTTTTTAAATCCAAAAATACGTGAATTTTTATATATAAAAATAAAATCTAGATGATTTTCAAAAAATCTGGCTGGTAGAAAGAAGATTTTGAGTAAAAATAAAAAAACATTTCCTTATTTAAAAAAAAAAGAAGAACTGTGTAAGGCAAGAGTGAATAATTCGCAAGAAAAAGATCAGGATAGGAAAAAATGGAGGGACATATTGTAAAGAATATTATCTAAGAGGATGGAATTGATCCATCCAAAATATGGATCTAGAGAGCGAACAGAAGCTTAGCCCCACTAGGGGCGTTTTTTTATACATCTCGAAACGTATCAGTTTCATCGGGTGTTTAGCGTTCCCTTTTCTCAGTATTAAGGCTTCGATCATATTAGAGGTACGCTTGTGCAAGTAATTTGGTGGCGCGCGCGTGCGCAAGCTGGCGTAAACAACAATGTGCTCACACTAAATGCAAGCAGGTGCAAGTTAATTATTATAAACAGGTCAGTCAACATAGAGATGTCAGATGATGAGGACATTGTTTTGGTGTTTTAAAGTTTTAATTTTTGGATGAGCAGGAAATCAGGGAAGAGTGGTATGCACAAATATTTAAAAATTTGCTTAGACAGCCCAATAAGTTTTTTGAATACTTTAGAATGATGCCAGACACTTTTTATTATATACTAGACAAAATCATTCCTCAAATAAGGAGGCAATCTAACTTCCGAAATTGTATATCACCTGAAGAGAAGCTGATGGTTACTTTGAGGTAAGAGTTGAAGACTTATTAATTATTTACTTTAAAATATGCTTTTGATGTATTTAGAAATGATTTTCAATCTGCCAATATTAAAAATGTTTTAGGCCTTTTTCTCAAAAAAGTTAATCTTACGTATTAATTATAAACATTAAAAAATGGCTATTGAATATATTTTTTTCTGTGAATAGTTTATGAAAATAACCTGGATATCAGGTTTGGAAAACGCACGCTTGCAATTAAAAAACAAATATTTTTGTTTCGGATCAAGCGTGCACAAGCTTGCATAAGCGTGCGCTTGTTTGTTGCGTGCTGTGTGAGCGGCGATGGACAAGCACCACTTGTTTCTGTCGCTCTCCTGAGGATTTTGTTTCTATGTGCACGCTTGCGCACGCGCGTGCCACCAAATTACTTGCACAAGCCTACTTCTAATGTGATCGAAGCCTAATAAACGACGTAATTTCCTGCTTTTTAAATAGTACTTTTTTGCAAAGTCACAAATAGTAATACTGCCCTTTAATATGAGCTAGAAAGATAAAATGAGAGGTGCAAACTGAACCATTTCTTATTATATACCAGCAAATAGAGCTCTAACCACTTCCTTAAATAGATACCAAATCGATGATACTGTGCTGCAAAACATCACATCAGGGAATGATCTAGGTAAGGGCGATCTTTGATATTGAATTGTTGTAACGTACGTCAAAACCGTAACACTAAAACACACGTTACATGGATCCATAATTGTCTTAGTAACAATTGGGGTATTTTCCGCGTATAGTTCAAGTCGAAGAAGGTGTGGTCCGATAATTTAAATTACTTTTCTAGGGGCTCCAGAATAATTTGCCACGAAATACCTCTTGGTGCAAATCAGCCACCAAATCAACAAATTGGCTGATACTTAGGTTAGGGTCAAAAAAATGTTACGCTGGTTTTTAGTATCTCAATTTATTTTAACTAAACTTTTACAATAATGGCTTATATAACTTGCGTCGAACAGCTTAGATTTTTCTTGACAAGTAATAACGTTTCCAGACTTTTCTGGACTATTCTATCTTCTTTTACACGTGCTTTTACTTATGATGATCGCAGCACAATGTAGTGAATTTGTGCAATAAAAATGGTACAAACGTCTAATTATACTCCTGTGAACTTAAAGTGTAGTTTAACCGTACATATAAAAACTTTAGTGTTAAATGTACATAACGCTCTTGTACCTGAACATTTTAATAGTACTGTTCGGAGTATAGTTTCTAAGTGTTTAAATATGACCGGAGTTGGAGAAGCAACCATTTATAGACTTTTAAAGCATAGGAAGGATGGAAGTAGGATTTGAAGAATGCCGTATTAGCAGAAATTTAATTTCTGTTCAAATGAGATCCAGATTATTAAAAATTACCATGCGTTACCGTTTTCGATGATGGTGGGTGGGGTTTTCCTCACCTGTAAGTCAAATGGCACCATCAATCATCTTTAAGTCGCCCCGGAGCGCCACGGAAAATAATAATAGCCAGGGGGGTGGGTGGCTCAGTGGTAGAGTCTCTGCCTGTGGATCCAAGTGTCATAGGTTCGAATCCCACCGTTGGCCGGAATTTTTTTATTTAATTTAAATATTTAAAATTAATGTTGGTGCCTTGGTAGGATTCCCCACTCGACCATTCACTGTTGGGTTCTCAGTGCTGTTCCTAAAGTGGTACTGGAAAACAGTAACAAAGCCTACACAGAACACGAGGCGAAATAACCTTAGCAGTTGAAGCCGATGACACACCAAAAAAAAATAATAATAGCCGTCCCTTTCCCCGGACAAGCTTTGCTTTTGGGGTTAAAATTCACTCGTAAGGGAATGAATTAGCGAGTAGAACCTAAAACGTCAACTGGGAGAAAACCCATTTAAATAGACTATGAAACAACTGATCCAAAGAAAAGTGCATTAGTTTTAAGACGAAACTTTGCCAAACGTTAAAAGAGACAAATTGTGAAAAAAAATCTGCGCTCATAGAGAAAGACGAAATTATTTGTTGGAGGAGGCAATATTTTAGGGAAATTAGAAAAGTAAGAAGAGAAGACAAAAATATTTTTTATTTGGATGGAACATGGATAAATAAAAGACATTTTGTAAAAAAGTTAGGCAAGATAAATAGGTTTTTTTTTTGTTTTACACCCTTCGGATCTCCCGTGCTACACCCTAATCCGTCTATAGCCTGGCGGCACTGCAGCCTGCAGCTTATTGTACCACCATTTGAAGGTCCTACTACTTTCTCATTCAACAATTCACTCCCTGATTCATCGTTATTCATTCCACGCCGTCGGTGGTTAACCGCTAGTCGGATGAGTCCCATAGTGACACGGCCCATGGTGGAACCTCCCAGCGGTCACCCATCCACGACGTGACCGGAGAATCACTGCTTAACTGTTGCGAGTATGTGGATGCACACTAAGCTCGCAGCTAGCCTCTCCGGCAGATAAATAGGTTACAAATGCTCGTCAGGTATTTATAGAAGATTTGTCTACTGGCTTAAAATTTCCAAATAGTAAAGATCGCCGTTTAATTATCACTCATATTGGAGGAGATAAAGGATTTGTTGCAGTGCGGATTCTGACAGCCCCACGATATAGATATGCTTCCGTACTTGGCAATGACCAGTCAGAATGCCTGTGACTAGGCGCAGATTCTGTCTAGTCATTTGTTTGCTGCAGTGTTGTCAGGATAACTTAAGAACTCCCTGACAACTCTGCAGTTTCTTGTTTCATCCCATCTTTCCTTGAATTTCGCAAGAGAATGTTCTTTAATTAGGTCTGCCACTACCGATTTTGTCAGACCAATAGAAGGGCCAGGTCCAAAAAGTATTTGGTTGCCTGCTTTCTTGGCTAGTGAATCAGTAATGTGGTGTGACCTTTGATCCATCTTAGGGTGACCACATTGTTGATGGATACTGCGGCCAAAGCTTCGTAATATTCTAGTACTAACCCTGAATAAATTCGTGATCTGTTCAGGGTGAGTAATGCTTGTCTGCTACCTGTATAGATGAGCATGTTTCTTCCAGTGATATTGTTTCTGATTATTTCTTTTGCTGCTATGAGAATCCCCGTTAGCTCTGTTTGAACTACACTGGCACTATTGCTCACAGCCCACTTTATGTTTAGGTTTAAGAATCTGGAGTATATTGCAAATCCTGAGCCTTGTTTTGTTTTAGAACCGTCGGTGTAGATATGTATCGTATCTGCCACTTCTGGCTCTTCTATTTGTTTAATTATAACTTTATATGGCTTTTGGAAGATATATCTCGGTGAGATGGAGTCCATGTTCGCTTAAAGCAGTGAGAGCGTATCGAGCGCCTCCTGCCAAAAGCGACGTCTCGCCTCACCAGATCCTACATCAGGATCTATTCCAACCATGCGGGGGCGTGTCATTGTCGTCAGAGCAACTTCATTGATGTAAATATCAAGGGGAGTGAGACCAAGAATGACTTCTATGGCTCTGGTCGGTGTTATTTTCATGGCTCCTGTTATGTTGAGACATGCTGTTCTTTGAACTTGTTTACGGATAGCTGTAAATTTTTGGGTTTTCGGTACCCAGACAACTGCACCCTATGTTAGTATAGGTCTTATGATGGCCGTGTAAGTCCTTGCGACGACTCTGGGGGAGAAACACCAGGTGCGCCCCACGGTTCGACGGCATTATTCATAAGCAATGTATGCTCTATTAACCCTGTTTTCTAAATGCGAGTTTCATGTTAACTTGCTGTCAAAGGTGAGACCTAGGTACTTCACTTCTGTCGCAAAGTTTAGTTTTGTGTTTAGGAGTTCTGGAGGTTTTAATTCCATTTTCATCCTTTTCCTTGTAAAAAGGATCATTTCTGTCTTCTTAGGATAGATATTATCTAGTGGTTGTTAAAGGTTAGCTGTAGTGGAAAGAAAGGGTGACGTAATCATCTCGTGGATTTCGGAATAATTGAGGAAGGCCAGAAACGGCTCTAATTATAACAAAACAAATGGCTTGGGCACAATGTAGCAGTATTTAAACAAACCCGTTCAACAAAAATAAGCAGCGGTAAACCACTCCCGAAATACTGGTACGTTTTCACTAGAAATCACCGAAATCACTACACATTTTCTCAAAAAGATTTTATTTTATTGTATCATATAAATTTGGTTGTGTGTATATTTATTATTAAATTTTATGGAAATGTCCTATTCTAATATCTAGTATACTATTTTTATAAAAATAAAAGTGGGTACTTAATATTGACAGTTTACTATTTTGTGTTCCTCATCACTGAGGTATAGAATTATTGGTTAATCCCTTAGGATTTGCTCACTTATATTTTATGATGTATTTTATTCGAGGTATTTTGGGATGGTTATATTAAAATTTAGTGAAAATTTAGATAAGAAGGTATCAATGTATACTTTTTTTTCTGCTTTGAAAAATCCTGTATATAGACCTTTGCCATAAAAACTGTGCTATCATACATTTCTAAATAAACTTTCCCACCATAACATTGGTTATGAGAGTAGACTAATTTGAACCATTACATATATTGTGTCCCGAAACTGAAGGGTTTGGCTAAATATTTAAATGATTAAAATTTGAATCTTTTGTGTAAATTTTATTTATTTTATAATTATTTTAAATGTAAATAAATTTCTTATATTCGTTCATTTTAGGTGGATTCTGCCATTTTTTAAATTTGGATACAAAAACGATGTACAACTTAAAGATATTTATAACGTCTCCAAGAGTGACCTCTCACAAGTATGGGGCGATAGGTTACAAAAGTAAGTGTTTTATTTATTTTTTTTACATATTTATTTGAATTAAAGTATTTTCAAACCCCAATGTACTGTTAAATTATTTTAGTTTAAATTAATTTTATTCGGTTTTCCACTAATTTATTTTAAAAACTAAAATGAAACGAACAAGAATTCATTACGCCTAAGCATATCGGGTGATTGAAAGTAGAGGAAAGTGGGGTAATACCACGCATCTAAGGGAAATTAATTCCCAATTTTCCATTTTTTATAATAAGCCGTTGGCATTTTGTGAAATATTTCTCAAAGATCTCTAGTATATGATGATATATATGTTATTTGAGTAAAATACTGGAGAATTGAAAAATTTTCAAATTATGCAACATATGCATTTCACGGTATTGCCCCACCCAGTTAGACAATATTACGCAACCAGTGGGGCAATACCGTGAATGTTGTTTGAGGCTTCGGAGTAGGCTGATGAAAAAAAAAATGTTAAAAGAAAATATGATATAATGAAATTAACATGGGAAAATAAAAAATTCTCAACATTTCTAAGAACTTTATCAAGCCTTTTATAATTATTTAAATAAATATCGTTTTACTTTATCTTTTTTTTGAGTTGCCTTCTATACATTCATCACATGTGTATTCCTTAGCTGATTCCCAACCTGTACACTCGGAGTGAGCCCATCTTCCACATTTTACGCAACGGTACCAGAGTTCTCTATTCCTTCCGAATTCGCCGCATATGATGCATAATTCGTTTGTCACAGAAGGCCTCTCGTACAATCCGTATTTATTCATATCTGAATTGCTGTCTTCAGACAGATCCAATTCCACTGATGAATCAGAGTTATCCTCTGACATTCCCTCCTCCTTTTCAACACGCTTTCTTTTTATGTTAATCCTCTTTTGGTTTTCTTTTCCATGTCCATTTAATTTTTGCTTACATGTTTTGTTTTCAGTATTATTTTTCTGGTCTCGTTTTGCTTGTTTTTGAACAAGTATATGCTTCGTTGGTGTAAAAGTCCGAATTTCTGACTTTTGCTCTTTTGCTGCCTGTCTTTTCGTGAATTTCCTATTTGTTCTCATAGGAATAGGAGCAACATCTGATATTTTGGCAAACGAATATGATGGTAAAGGTTCAGGAATGGCTGCTGTTGATGGTGTCGGTTCTGGAATAGCGGATATTGATGGTGTCGGTATCGCAATAGCTAAGGGTTCTATTAGTGTCTGAGGAGATATCATCCTGAAGGACCTTTCCCCTTCATCTGATTCTACATCCACAGTAAATTCTCTAAATTCCTCAGCTGGTGCGAAGTGCTCTGCTGTAAACTTAGAGGGGTTGAAAGGAAATATTTCGGCAGCTCGGAATCCTGAAATTCCCTTATCCATAGTTGCTACTTTTATATATGCTTGATTAAACAAACGAGCCACATCGTATACTGTAATCTTCTCGTGTGCAGTTGAATTCATATGGGAATCATAAACAGTAAAGAGAGATTTTTTTAAGAGGTCCAAAGAAATCCAGAAGCTGAAAGTGATTTGATGTATGAGTGGGTATTGTAAGAAGTACGATATGGCTATTTTTGCAAAACTCATCAATTTCCAACGAAATGTGGCTTCCATGATTGTCTAAAATAAGTAAAATCGGGTCGGTCGCATTAGACTTCACATAGCTTTGGAAATGTTTTAACCATTTTAGAAATAACTCATTATTTGACCACCCATTGTCAGAGCATGAATAAATGGATCCAATTGGGCCATCCTTTTCTAGTTGTGGAGACATACATACATTTCCTTAGATAAATAAACATTGGAGGGACTAAGGAACCAGCTGCACTGACAGTACATAAGATAGTGATAGTTTGTCCTTGTTCGGCTGAAATAGCAATTCCGACTGGCTTATGTCCTTTTTTGGCGTATATTTTTCCAGACTTTTTCTGGACAGTTAATATTCCAGACTCGTCAGCATTGAAGATCATGTCTTCTGTAAATTGATGCTTTTGTAACAAAGTTTTAAGATCTTTGAAAAAAAAAGACAGCATCGGTGTTGAACGATGAAATACAAGACTTGTTCCTTCTGGCTGACGAAGACTAATTTGAGGATTTCTTTTAAGAAAAAGCCTCAGCCAGTCTTTGCCAGCTAATTTTGTTGTTAAGTTTATGGATTAGATTATTAGCTTTTGCAAAGTCAAAAGCCATATGCATTAAGTGCCGCGAAGTTACTCCATTAAACAAATTCGCCAACTTCATAACGTGATCTGCTGGCTCTTGCTCTTGTTTTTTTTTCGTAAAAACTGGCGTCCGTCCCAAGCCATGCATCTCATCAAGTTGAGCTGGAGCTTCACCGTCTGCGCCGATACCTCTTTTTTTTAAATGATCACGAACTGTCGATTCTGGAATATCGACATTTCTTATTTCTTGCCACCTCACGTATTTTTGAACCCGAGCGAGCAGCAGCTATTGCATTATTAAGTTGTTCAAAATCGTTGAGTTTTTCTTTTGTAATTTCTTACCATCTGAAATAAAAAGTGGAAATATTTTACCAAATATATCAACGAAGAGATATACTTAGCAAATGTAGAGGTGGCGCAATACCACTCATCTTACCATTGAAATCAATGTGGGGTAATATCGCACATATGTGGGGTAATATCACGCGCGGTATTGCCCCATATCAATGCTGGCCCTATTTTCTAATCTCACCTCGGTTGTTTACTAAAGAAAATTAAAAACGGTAGCAGGTAAAAATCAGTAAAAGATCCAATAAAATATCTATATTAGCCGATTTTATATTTACCTGATATTTAAACTTACCTCGCTTATTTCCTGGTAGCTCAAAATTATAATAAAAGCAACGACACTCACGCTTTGATATACTGCGAAGTACTGGATCATAGATAAATTATGTAAGATAAATCGTTTACATGCACGGCACTGGTAACACGTTTAGTTCCTCAGCATACTATTTGGAGCCACCATCGCACATTACATAATTGGCTTGACAGTTAAAGGCAGCACAGAAGAAGAAAATAAAAAGAAGAATGTCTAGTTTTCCCGCGGTTTACTCAAATGTACTTTATTATTTATTTACATTTTTCGGAATGCATTACTCAAAAAAAAACTAATATTTAAATTAAAATATTGTATTTAACATAAATATTAGTTTTTTAAAGTAATAAAACTCCAAAAAATATAAATAAAGAAATATTTATACTAAAATACTTGAAACACAGGTATAGTTTAGTCATTTAATACAAGTAAGGTGCATTTAAACGTTTATTACATACATAACATGTACTCGATATTACATAACAATAATTGTAAGTGAAATTAATAGTAATCTCCTCTCATTCTTGGAAAATGGACCAATTTTCGATGCAGGTGTTAGGTGTTTTCTCAGGGCGTTTTCTATAAAAACAAAAAAAGTGTACATACCTTATTGAACAATTTCTCTTATCAAAATATTGCCAATTCTTATTGTAAAGTACAAATTAATTTTAATTAGTTTATAAACAAAAATTATTTCTCATAGTTCAATAGTTAATTTGAATTTTATTTTAACTGTAAAACAAATTTGTTTTAGTTGATATAACAAATTAGTGTTTAAAAATTACTTTTCATTTTTAACAGACAACAAAAGGATATCCTTTAAATTCTGTAATAATCATTAAAGTTCGCAAGCCCTCTCACCAAGGCAAGGTTTCAATCTAAGAGGAGGAAAAAGTGAAACTTATTGACTATTAATTATATTTTTTATAAAAATACTAGTTAATTTAACAATCAAATTATTTAGTATAGGTTTACTGCAATTTGGAAAATGTAGCTTAATTGATTCATCTCTTTAACAAACAAAATTGTTACAAATAAAAAATTAACTTTAGCCAGTAAATGAAGAGCAGCAACTCCGAGGTTTGAAAAAATCTTCATTCGAGAATTTGCTTTTTGTTTACTGTTGCCCGCATCCCACCACGAGGAGGTAAAGTAATGGACTAACACACTAAGGATGCTTTATTTTATTTTTCTGAAAAAAGCATTTACAATTAGTCGTTTTTAAGTTTTATGGCAATTTTGCTAAAAGACTCTGGCAAAAAAAGATCTTCACAAAGATAGCGAGTTTTATTATCAAAAGTTAAATTTAAATTCTTAAACAAGTTCTCTCGAATTTTAAAAACAGAAGGAAAATGAAAAAAAGGTTTTATTTGAATAACCAGCTTGCTGAATATTAGAATACCTATTTAAACAATTGGGAGCTGAATAAGAATACTTAGTTTTACCATTCGATGCTTTACCCGGGTCAGACATGTTTTGATATTGTTACAAATATATTAAAAAAAGAATTGAAAATAAAATTACCTATATTTCGTGTTAAGGCTAAGAAAACAATGATAAAACAAGTTTTTAAACAAATCTAACACCTAATATTGAATTAAATTGCATCAAATCATCACTTATAAATCTTCTTAACCTAAAAATAACTTACATAAAATAACTTTTATTTACTTATATTGTTGTAATTTTGCCATTTCGCCTTCCGCCGCCATTCCGTTTTTCATTTTTACAAGGTTGTCAAACTTCTTTTCAAAATATCCCATCAATAGTATGCAATAGTATGCCATTGTGTGGATGGTATCGAGCTTGACAAAAAAACAACATAATGTGTTTGAAATAATTTTAATCTCATGAAAGTTTATGGAAACTGGCAACATCGCTTTCATCTTATTGCGATAATGGCTCCAAGTAGTATGCTGAGGAACTAACCACCTAAATCACTTGTTACCAGTGCCGTGCATTTAAACGATTTATCTTGTTTATTAATTTATCTATGTACTGGATGCTTTGATCGACTGCACAACATTTGCGGCATAGTCAGGGTAGCCGGTTCCCCTGTAAATAGTTGGTAACAAGTTTGTTTGACCTCGACAGTGGCGCGCTAAGCGCGTTATGATGAACTATAATTAGGTACCGTCGGTAAAGTAGAAAACTACTAAGTAAAGCGATTTAAAAAATGGCGGGATTCA